AATAATATGTAAAATGATAACCATTGATAATTTCCTACCATTTTGTCTGTAATTTGCTAAGTCCCCCCTATTATTATGTTATCCTTCAAAATAAAAAATAAAAAATAAAAAAAAGATTCAAAAAAAAAAAAGGAATACATATTTCTCATATTTGTGTTCTCCTGATCACTTTTATTCCTAAGATCTCCAATGCTTTCCTTCCTTTTCTCCACGATTTATCATGTGTGTCTTATAAACCTGAAGGCTCAATGATTTAAGTAGGTGAGAAGTCAGAAATTTGTTTAAAAAATCCTCCAGCAATTTAAAGTCTTACTTATACCGTTAAAGAATCTCTTAAACAGAAGAAAATTTCCTTTTAGGGGAGGGTACTGAGGATTGAACCCAGGGCCTCATGTACACCAAGCAAGACTTCTGTTATTGAGTTACAATTACAGTCTTATTTTATTTTATTTTGGTTTTGTGACAGGGTCTCACTAAATTGCCCACAATGGCCTCAAACTTGATATCCTCCCATCTCAGCTTCCCAGGTACGCCAGCTACCATAGTATACTTCCCAATATACCAGCTATGGTGTGTGCCACCGTGCCTGGCTAAAAGAAATACTTTTTAAAAAGGGAAAACACACTCCATACTTACCATATCTACCAAATACTCAACTCCCTATCCCCTGTGAGCTTCACAAGAGTACAGATCACATCTCTTTGAGCCCACGTTTATCTTGTGAGACAATATATCTTCCATGCTTAGTAAGGGATCTGGCACATACATATTCAACTCTGCCGAATAAATGCATGGGTTTGTGCATAAAATTCCACCAACATAAAATGCATGCTCTCAATCACAAAGGTACTTATGATCCAGAGTAGAGGGGGCTGGGGATTTAGCTCAGCGGCACAGCGCCTACCTGGCAAGTGCAAGGTCGTGAGTTCGATTCCCGGTACCAGAAAAAACAAAACAGAGTAGAAATGAAAATACCATCTTCAGACCACAAAGGAGCCTACTGCAAGATTTACACTTCAGACAACAATAGCTAACTTGTGGCACTGTAGTGTGTGATAAACCCTGGATTGAGCCTTTTTGTGCATTATTTGGATTTGATCCTTGAGGTTTTGTGGAAGATCATAAGCCTTATTTATAGGTGAGCAAAAGTAAATGCAGAGAAGTTTTAAATAACTTGTGCAAAATCAACAGGTACCAAGTGGATAAATCTGACTCAAACTAAGGTCTCCCTGATTGCAAAATCCAGTGTTATTAAAACAATTCCTGTTTTCTAGATCTGAGCAAGGAAGAAGCTCAGAGCCAACATTCCTCCCAATGAACAAAAGCCAAGAAGTTATAAAACCATTTCTGAGCAGTCCAGCGAGCACAAAGGAAACAAGATGAGATAAGAATACAGATATTTCAGGCTGGGGATGTAGCTCAGTGGCACAGCGCCTGCCTGGCAAGCACGAGGTCCTCAGAGTGATTTCTGGTTCCAAAAAGCATACAGATATTTTGGAAAGCAAGGATAATCTTGAGACAATCGGGTATGGTTTAAAATAGAATCAATGGATGTAATTGGCTATATTAACAAAGTGAAAAAAGAGAAACTATATCCATCCCAACAGACACAGAAAAGGCATCCATTAAAATTCCATACCCATTAGTGAATTAAAAAGGAAAACAAAACCTGTCTACAGAGTTAGGAAGAAATGTGAAGCATCTGTATTCAATAGTAAAACATTAGAAATGTTAAAATAAGAATTAGTCAGGGATTTTTATTTCTTCTTCTCCTCCTACTTCCTCGCCCACTTCACTCCAACTCCCTCTCCTCCTCCTCCCTCCCTTCCCCCTCCTCCCCCTCCTCCCCCTCGTAGGCAAACACTGTACTAAGGAGCTACATCCCCAGCCCCTGTACTGCTTACTTCTGT